AATCAACCGGAGTGACAACCCTTTTTTCTGCTGTCAGCTGAACAGAGATAACTACTTCGAGAATCTCATCAAAGTTTCTGCCAAGTGGCAGCCGGATAGAGGATGGACAGCTTCAGTTTCTTGTCAGGACCAAAAATAAATACCACATGGGCCATCACGTTCATGCCCTTTTTGTCCTTTTCCGCTGGGTCCAGCATGCCCGAGAGGAGGGCCAGGTCCCGATTCTTATCGTCGATAACATGAAAGGCTAACTTTTCTGTGGGCTCATCACCACTGTAAGCATTGATAGCCTTGCTCCAGACAAAATGGCCTTCAACACTGTCTATTGAAAGTGCAGTCAACTGAACATTCCTCTTGGCAAACTCTGCTGCCAGCTTTGCTGCTCTGCCAAGCTCTGTGGTACACAAGGAGTTAAAGTCCCGTGGGTGGAAGAAGAGGGTGCCCCATGAGTCTCCCAGAAAGTCGTGGAAACAGATGCAGCTGATGGTGGGGTTGATCTCAGAGCTGGGAGCCTCTTCACAGAGAAGGAGCCCTCCGCGCTTGGCGGCAGCCCAGACGTGGAGGACAAGGGGGAGGCGCAGCCACAGATCTGAGAAGTGCAGCTTGAAATCCATCGAGTGAGCTGCTCACTTAGAGCCAGTTCTTCTGGGGACATTGAGGGGGCTCTCCTGTCTCAGCAAGGTGTAACCATAGGACTTCTTCAGCCAATATAATGTCAGTAGCAACACGAGTCACATCTGAGCCAAAGCATTTAAAAATGATGCATGATAGGGGCTGGGGAGATAGCTCAACAGCTTAAGTACCTGCCTGGCAAGCAGGTCCTGAGTTTGATCCCCACTACAGCTAAAAAAAAAAAAATAGTACGATCATTGGGCCAGGGAGATGGCTCAGTGGAATAAGCGCTTCCCTGGCAAGCGCAAGGGCCTGAGTTCTATCCCCACGTGATTCTTAAATTTCTGTTGCCACAAACCCTGGAGCTTCACATTTGGATAACATGTCCTCAAGATGGTAGATCCTTAGGGGCCGAGGAGATAGCTCAGTAGAATAAGCACTTGCCTGGCAAGTGCAGGGTCCTAAGTTCAATCCCTGGCACTGAAAAAAAGAAAAGATGGTAGATCCTTCCTCAGCCTAGGTCCTTGTGTAGCTAGAAGGAACAAAACCCCCAAAAAGCATACATTGACCACCGAACACAGCAAAAAATCTGTAAGTCAGTAAAGTTTGAGACTTATTTGTTACCACAGCAGAACTTGGCCATCCTGATGGGTACACATAGCTTTGCTTAGCAGAATTCCTAACATTTCGTAAGGTACTAACTAGCCAATAACATAGGAGAGAGTTAATGAACTCAGAATGGGAACTTTTCCTTCTGTGATCTCTTGCGAGAGCTCATAATGTCCACAGATTCACTGGAAACTCATTCCTGGCATCTCTGGATCTGTTTGGCAGTAAAGAACTCCCACATTCCCATAATTCTACTGGGCTGGGGAGCTCTATAAAAATTCATTTCTCAGGAGGCTATTTTAGTGTCGATATTTGTTCAGAGACATCCAGCCAAGTAAATGTTCATTAAAAAGCTGGCCATCTAACTACCGAGGCAGAATGAGCACAGCACTTTGAGGCTGACTCTCATGAACTCACTCCAAAAGAAAGAAAAGACCTTCTTGCCAGCATAGCTGTCTTGCTCTTCAGTAGGCCAGGCTGCAGGCCTGCTGTAGGCTTCCACAGTCCCCCCAAGGCAGTGATCTGCTCTCCTGGATTCTCGGGGCCTGGATTCTGTTTCCATGGCCACAACACAGTTTGAGCAAACATTTCCCACTTCACTGGATTCTCCCATTGGAAAAGTGAGACACTTGGAGAACCAGTTCACTTTAAAACATTAAAATTAATCAACAGGTTTATAAGTGAAAACAAGCCACCATTTATGCACCTCACTTTCCATCCATAGGAAAAAGAATTACTGCTTCAAAAAAATCATTTAACATTTAAATATAGGATACATTTTTTATTTTATTTTATTTCTCTTCAGGGCTGGAGAAGGAAGCCCATGCCTTGCACATGCTAGACAAGTGCTGTACCACTGAGCTACAGCCTCCACCCCAAGAGCATATTTTAAATAATAGTATTTCAGTCATGATAAAAATTCTGATTTTGATAATGGTATTATAAAAGAGTATCCTGGTTTCTCAGGAAATACACACTGAGGTATTTAGGGATTAAGGGTCATGATGTTAGCAACTAAAACTATTAGTGAAAAATACTATGGAAAGAAAAAGACACTTCAAATATGTAAAAAGCTAATAATTGGGAAACGTAGATACATGACCAAGACATTCACTCCACAGTTCTTGCAACTTTTCTGTAGTAATGAAAAATTTCAAAATAATATGTTTGTTTTAAAATCATACATCCAGGGGCCGGGGAGATGGCTTAGTGGAATAAGCACTTCCCTGGCAAGCACAAGGGCCTGAGTTCAATCCCCGGTTCCACAAAAAAAAAAAAAAAAAATCATACATGCTCCCACACAGCAGCTTTCATACATATTCCCAACCCCAAAATAAAATATAAATTGCACACTACAACCCAGTACACATATATAGACATACAATTCGAACACTTACAAATTAAGTAAAACGTTTCACAAAACAACACTTACTCATCACATTACATGTGATGCTCTGTGGCTTTTCTATCACGTTTTTACAGTTGCCATTTGTGGCACTGGGGTTGGAACCCAGGATCTGGAGCATGCTCAGTACATGTTCTCTCACTGCGACAAACCCCCAGCCTTTATGGTCTCTTCAAAATGCCAGCCATGATCTATTCAGCTTAGTCGATGACCACTCGTGGTGAAAACCCATTGGAACTCTCCTGCACCAGTTCTAAAACTTAGCATGATTAAGAATACTGTGAGCTGAGCCCAGTGGCACACACCTGTAATTCCAGCTTCAGGGAAGGCTGAGGCAGGAAGATCAAAAGATCAGCCGAGCCTGTGCAACCTGGATGTCTTCAAACTTTTTAACAAGTGCTGGAAACGTAGCTCAGTGGTAGAGTGTTTGCCTAGCATGCATGAGGCCCTCCCTGAGTTCAATCCTCAGTATTAAAGAGAGGAACTCTGGCCATGAAAAACTGACAGCATGGTGCATCCCAGACCTGTGGATTTTGCAAACTCACCTCTCCAAATACAAAGTGAGGAAAGAAATCAGGACATTTAAGATTGCAGATTTCCAAAATGTGGACAAATGCACACAGTATAGGGAATACCTTGAGCTAGTACTGAGCATACATATGGCACTGTTGTTGACTGGACTGCCTCATGGCCTGTCAGGAACCTGTGCCTGTTGTGACCAGCTCAGCATGGCTCTGCTGCCAACTAGAGAGATGCGTGTGGGAATGTAGACCAGTCAGCACTGGGGGGTGGGCCATGCTAGGGCTAGAATCCAGGGCCTTGCACGTGCTGGCAAGCGCTCTACCACGAGCTACACCCTGAAATCAGAGCCAGCACTTAGAAGGCAGCCTGCAAAGCCTACACTTGCACCCTGGCCCGAAGGGCTGCTGATCTGGAGGCTCACCAGTCAACCTCTGCTCACTTCCACTGCAACCCTGGGAAAAGCTGAGCTACTAGAGCCCTGCAGTGAGATCTGGCAGCCCTGGCCTGAGATATTGATCATTCAGGCCCTGAATGCTCGCCACATGTGTTAATCAGCCTTTGCTCTGGCAAGCAGGCCTGGGGGCTTAGAGTTGGTCAACTGCTCTCCTGAGGTATCCCTGACTCTCTTCCCACCATGCTTGCTTCCGGTTTGGCCACTAGCCTCAAAGTGTGCAGCTCATAGCAATTTCCACACCTAATAATGTCTCTGTCTTCTGAGCACTCTTACCACAAAATGGTAAACAAAGAAGATTTTGTGGCCTCCTCAGATTCACAACACACATTAGCATATAAAAGACTGAGAGGCCTACAGTAGAGAAACTTGTTTGACACCTAATTCCACCCCTCTCCATGCACACACACTGGGGACTGAACCCAGGAAGTCTCACTGAGGTGCATTCCCAGCTCTTTTTCGCAATCTGAGACAGGGTCTTGCTAAGTTACCCATGCTGGCCTTGGACTTGCAGTCTTCCTGCCTCAGTCTCCCAAAAGACTGGGAACTTAATGGGTTGGTTTTGGGGGGTTTTTTTTGTTTTTGTTTTTGGGTTTTTTTTTTTTGTTATTTTAAGAGTTTACAGATTTACTTGTCTATAAACACATCCTGCTGCCCTAAAGTTCCTTTGTGGCTAAGGGCATCCCTGAAATAAATGTGGAATAGGTAAAATGGGTCTGTTTTAATTGCCTCTTAACACATCTCAGATCCCAGGAGCCACACCACACCCCCTTGGGTCTAAGTCTTTCCCCTTTCTCTTCTGTCATGTCCTCATCTTCCTGAACCCTTGTGTTCCCAGGAAGATAAATAGGGACGAGGAAGAGGATTTGGTAGAAAACAGGATTGGACTTAATGGGTTGCCCCACCAGGAGAATTAGCACAGTTGATCATTCTTAGCCATGGGCTGCCTTGAACTCAGACATCGCAGACACTGTTGCCTGGAAATGGAGGAGATGGGTGAGATGGAGCCTTAGAGACGCCCAGTGCTCACTCAGCTTTTGAACCCAAAGGCCCGCGGTCATTCTAGTTTCTCTTTTCCAAAGGATGCCCATGTGAATAGAGCCGAAATTCACAAGCAC